AGCAACTTTACAGAACTGTGATAGGTTTTGGCTAGTATCTTGATAAAGGGCATCCTGTAAAGATTTGCATTCTACAGTTCAGAGGAATTTGAATTTAATGTACTTAGTTATAGATTTTGGAAATACCCCACAAATAAAAATAATATTCCCTAAGACCTAATAAACTTTGTACTGAAAGTAGTGAACATTAAGCACAGTTAATCTACGCAAGTGGATAACTCTGTCCTTTAATCTAAGTATTGTAAAGAAATCCTTGAAGAGCAAATGTTCTGATTCCTTAGTAACTGTCTCTAAGAGGAAAGAAGTAAAATATTCTTTTAGAGAAGAGAAAAGAAACACTTACTGGTACTTTGAAGGGTGAGGTGTTTGCAGTGTCCATGGAGTTGGGCTTCTCTGATGTGCTGGTCCCTGAGATGCTCCGTCTGCGGGGAGACCTTTCTGCCGGCACTTCTGGAAGAGAAGGAAAAAAAATCCCTTAAAAACCCCAATTTAAAAACCTTTCACTAAATCGTAAAATTATTGTTTTCTTCTTCTCCACAAAAAAGATCAGTTTGCTTTAAAGGTGTATTACATTCTGTATCCACATAATTTGTCTCTTTATCTCTGTTGTGTTTGAACTATCAAGACACAGTTAAGAATCTGCTGTAGTGTGACAGCTTATGTCTTTATCTGTGCACATATAAAAAGTAATTTCCTCTGAGCTGTTTAATATCTATAAGTTCACTTAATATTTGCATCTCACAGTGTACGACTCTACTTCTCTATTTGCGAGCAATATAGGAGTTAATAGAATCCAATGAAATTTCCGATATTTCTGTGAACAAAATATAGTCTAGTATGCACATGATTTGATGGTGTTTGCAAAAAGGTCAAAGTTCAGTTCTGTGCAGATAAGATGATTTACCAGAATGCAACCAAAGGGCCATGAGAAGACGGAAAGCTGCTGCCAGGAGAAAATAACATATATGCTTATGCAGATTTAAAAATAGATCAGCTTCTCCTTGCTCTGGCAATATGACCTTACTAAGATCTTACTCTGGAATCCTAAATCTGTTCGAACTACCTAACAAGCGTCAGATTTTGCACCTAATGTGGCCATCTCCAATGTAATTACTATACACGATATTAAGGTTACATTTAAATTTTTTTCACAGTGATATATATGCATATATATGCACATACACACACGCACACACAGATGACAGATATATACATATTATACCTTTATCACAACTGCTTCCCATCTCCACTTCAACTGACAGACATTTAGGAATCCAGCTTCTCAGATAACATTAGATAATCTCAACATGGACAAGAAAAAAAAAAATACATCCTAAAAAAAGTATTCTGTGTTATCTTCCAGATCTTAAAAAACAAGGAGTAAATCGTGACTCCGGAGACTGACATTTTGCTTCCTGCTGTTCTCTCTTTAAAAGACAGATGCAGTTTAAACTTCCATTTCTGGCCTCCTGGCCCCTGGGATCCGTGCTACTTCCACTTAAGAGAAAGCGTCTTTTCTCTCGCTCCCTCCCCGTGTCTTGCTCTTCCCCCTCCCTCTCTACAGCTTGCAGAGAGAACAAGCAAGAAAGAAACACACGGGACTGCAGCTATTCAATCAATCGCTCCCACTGCACATCCTCATTAGTTACTTTCAGGCTATTAGCAGACGCCCAACCACTGCCTCCCCTCAGTTACAGAAAATTTCACTGTATTACACTAATCTGCAGCAAGAAAAAACATTTACTGAAATTTATATTCAGCCGGTGCCAAAAGGACACCATTTTACACAGACCCAGTAATTCACACAAATCAGTCCCTCCTATGAAAATCCAACGGGAAGCGCCTGCCCTGGTACCGTCGGCACGTTGGACACTGGCTTTCTTTCCATGGCTAAATATCTATCTTCTCTGTGACATCTTGACTAGTAAGACATAAACCAAACTGCAACATTCCTAATAACTGAGAGGCTGACAATATAGCATCTTATATGCCTGCAATACAACAAAGTTCCACGCTATTACCGTGTTTTAAAATTATGACCAATAACTGTAAGTCTCTCAACTTCTCGCTAACCATCAGTGGTTAAATGAGCCTTAATGTACAAAGCCATTTTCAGAATTAGGCACACATGACTTCTAGTGCACATTTCTAAAAAATGGCAGTGTAATTAGCTAAAATTCGTGGGAATGGCACAAAGCACTGAATTTAAACAAATCGGTTCGTCAAAGGACACTGAACAAGAACTGCAGACTTCAGGAGCGTGACTTCAAAGAGTGATTATCCAAGTTAGGCAAGTGTATGTGGGGGACAGGCAGGTGGGCAAGGGGGCTGGAGAAGGCAGAAGATCATCTCATCTTTCCTCTGATAATTACCTATAATTACAAAGTCTAGGAGACTGAATATTACAATAAAATGTATTTTAATCTCTGAATAATTGCTAGAGAAACCAAACTGGGAGAAAAAGAAGTTCCATTAGAAGGATCGAATGACCTAGTAAACAGTTTTCCTTAATTTATAATGTTCTGGCTAAGGAAAAAAATGAAAACTTATTTCCTCACTTTCTTCCAAACATCTAATTTTAGTTTTCAGGCAAATGAACTCATTAATCAAATATATGCCAATGCTTTTAACTATGTGGAAATTATATTGGCTAAAATGAGCAACCATCCCTTTTCAAACCCTAACAAATACAGTATTTGTTGTAC